CATTGACATGCCGCACGTTAGCTCCGATGAGGAAATAGCAGCAACGATGGAGCTCCATTCCTTAGAATGGTGCCCCATGGCCACGAAGGCCGTCATAAGTAAAGGGGCTGCTAAACGAAGGAGACTAGAGCTAGTTGGTAGAAGCGACGAAGCTCAGCACTATTACATTCCTGGTAAGTGGGACTTTTCTTTTCCAAATAATGTCAAATACGAGAAATATTCTTGTATTAAGCATTAATTTATTTTCAATTTTTCAGGTGCACAATAACAATAAGATTTTCTACCAGTGAAAAGACACGTCGTGTGCAGAGCCATCCCAATCAAACCTACGCTTCACTCCAGTGTCAAAATCCTCGTCTTCGCGCAAGTACTCTGTTAGCTGGCTAACTGTAAGTTTTTTAATTTTTTTTGCTAATTGTTTTCATGATTTGTTGATTTTTAGGTATCGTTTCTTTTTTTTTTTGGGAATTTGATTGCTAGTTTTTGTGTTTTTGAGATTTTCTAATTTGCTTTTTGATTTTTATATTTCTGATTTCGTTATTAACTGTTGACTTTTTTGGTTATGTTATTAATTGTTAACTTCCAATTGTTAATTTCTGAGTTCTAGTTTCTGAATTTTGTTTTATTCTTCATTAAAGAAATTGGTCTAATCCGTTCCAATCCGGCCACCAAAAAAGTTTCAAATTTTTGAATTTCCATTTGCTCTTCAATGGTGAAATTTTTTCGATTTAGAATTCCAACTGTTTTGTAATTTCTAAAGAACCGTCACCTTATATGATTTGGCCTTTGATAATATGATTTCGGATCGGATTCTTAGGATTAGACTTATTTTTGATTTCATGTTTTCTAATTTTCTTGTTTTTGAATTTTTTTTTTTAATAGAAATAACGTTAAAAAAAACAAAAAAAAACGAAAAAAAAAGAAAAAAAGAAAAAAAGAATAAAAAGAAAGAAAAAAAAAGAAAAAGAAAAGAAAAAAGGATAAAAAAATTTAAAAAAATAAAAGTAAAAAAAGAGAAAAAAATGAAAAAAAGAAAAAAAAGAAAAAAGAATAAAAAAATTAAAAAAAACAAAAATAGAAAAAAAGAAAAAAGGAAAATGGAAAGAAAAAAGAAAAAAT